AAGTTAACATGTACATCCCACAAGATGAGCAAGAGGCAGCCATGAGGGCTTGGAATGCAGAGAAAGACCCTCTTAAACGACGGGCGTTGGAGGATGAGAAACGGATGGAGTGGAAGTTGGCAGTGATGAGAGAGAAAAAGAGGAGGATGGAGAAAGCAGCAGAGGCGGCAGAAGCTTTGGAGGAAGTGAAAACGATAGAACAACAATTAGCCGCCCAGCCCGATTTCTCAAATCAGATGCGAATCGTGGCTCGAAGTATTGCATGCCTAGCGCGAGTTCAGGCAGATCAATATGATTTCAGCAGAAGCCAGGATATCGCTGTGCGTTCGATGAAAATGGGTTTTCGAGACTTTGCTCGTGAGCTGGTAGGCGCCGTTGGAGTCGAGGTGGGTCATCGCCTCGACAAGACTGAGCGGTTCTGCACCGGCGCCATTGAAGGCGTCAAGGCGGCAGCTCCCAAGGAGGAGGAAGCACGTCCTCCTCGCCGGGAGCCTGTCAAAGTCAAGTTCCCCGATTCCTACAGCGGGAAGAGGGAGGAAAACTTTGACAATTGGGAGGCCAACGTTAAGACCTATGTGCACTTGCAACAAGTCTCCCTAGATCAGCAAGTCTTAATTGCTATCCACACACTGAGAGATGAGGCCGCCAGTTTTGCAAGGTGCCTAGTTCGCGCTGCCAACTGTACTGATGATCCCGTTGCGTACTCCTCATTTACGTCCCTCACCGAATTTCTGAAGTTGCTGCGCGAGCGATTTGCTGATGTCGCTCGCAGTGTCAAGGCCTCAGACAAGCTCCAAACCATCCATTCTCGTAAATGGAAGAGTGCCAGGGCACTCAAGGGTACAATGGATGAGTTGGTGGHCGTCCCGGATCACAAAGTCACAGAGACCCAATTAGTTAAACTCTTCTATCGAGCTATGCCCGAAGCCTTTCAAGGGCAGTTCTTCGCGAAAAGCGAAGACCCTGCCACCACTTACGATTCCCTTAGTCGTGAGGTGGTGGCTTTTGAAGCAAAGTCAGTATCTCTGTCTACCTTCTGGTACAAAGACTTGGACAGGGGTAAGCAATGGAAAGGCCGCACTATCTCAGGGCAGGTAAAGACCAAGGATAGACTTGTCCTGACCTTAGATGAGGGTAGTGTGGATGAGATTCCCTACGACCAGATTGAGTGGGGATTAGAGGAGGCGGACAGCGGTGTGGGTCAGGGGAGATCCTACRCTGCTGTCGCGGCCGGAGGGAGGCCGCAAGGAGGACGAGGCCAGGGCCAAGGGGGCCGGGCCTCAGGGAGTCGATTTCAGGGCGATCAGGGGGTTGGCGGYAGAGGAGGAAACCGCCAAGCGGGAGGCAGGGGTCAAGGTCCCTCGCAAAACCGTCCTTGGAATAGGGCTCCCTATAGAATAGGAGGATGGCACCCAGGGCTACCTCAGGGTAGGCCTTGGGAATCTTTGGGTCTGGAHCAGGCTTTATGGCAACAACGATTGGACCGGGGCCAGTGCATTTTCTGCGGTGACCCGGGCCATATCATCAAATATTGTCCTAAGTATAGAGGGACCCAAACGGCTGCCCCAGGGCCAAAAGGCAGCCGCCGGTAAGGGTAGCAACTGCCCCTACCATTAGGCCATGTGGGGAACATAGCGCTAGCCGGCAGGAGACTCCCACACCACATGTGCCTATGGCAGAGGTTGCAGGCCGGTGTCTAAATAGCTGTCCAGAGACTGCTCGTGTCAGGGTCTCTTTAGACACCTCCCTCACAGGCGTGGCCGAAGAATTGAAGGAGAGGATGCCCGCCTGGGCCAAGRTGAAGAAGGAGAACAAAGGGCAGCTTATATTACTAGATACAGAGATTTTTAGAAGTAGAGTAGGGGCCCTAGTTGACTCAGGGGCCACTCGCAGCTATATTAGTAGGAAGGCGYTGCAGAAGTTGAAGCTGGGACTTAAAGTCCAAAAGCTAGCAGACCCTATAGTTAGTATCCTCGCAGACAATCGTACCATGGTTGTAGAGGATTACGTTGAGGGAGTCCAGGCGTATTTTCGCCTAGAGAAGGATGGGAAAATGGAAAAGGTC